GCCATTCCTGCATCCGAGCGATTCATTAACGGCAGCGTAATCTCTGTCCCCACCGGACCCAACCAGGAAGGCGCTGAACTGTTTGCCATTCGGTCCTCCGTGGCGGCGGTCATGAATATTTGTAACCTTCTCAGTGGTGGTTGGCCTTTGGAGACTCAAAAGGCCTCGAAATGCCGGGAAAGGCTCTCCCCCGCCGCTTCCCTCCAGCACCTGCTCAGCTACCTTGAATGCATTAAGTCGTTCTTCCCAACCTCTGCTCCCCTGAAGACGTTAGCATGCGAGGCGCACAGCTTGATGTGATGCACGGGACGCTTGTGTTTACCGGGAAGGGTTCGTAATGAAGGAGAGATTTCAGATGAGGCAGCGCTGCTACATGGGTTTGTGCCTGAAGGGCCAGCATGTACAAACCTGCCCTAGACGAGCAGTGCGGTGTAGTGGTTAGAGCACCAGATTAGCCTGGAGATCCTAAGATTGTCTGGCAGCCGGAAGTTTTAGCTCTTCAGCATTATGCACCACTAGGTGACGAGCTAGACTTGTTTTTTAAGGGCAAGAGCCATTTCACTGTTGGTTTGCCATTATCCGCCTGCGTCGAAGCCTTGGCATTCCTTTGAGGTCACCCTTCCAAATACTAGCCAAGGCCGGCCCTGCTTAGCTTCTGGGGCTAGCCTGGGCTATCCAGGGGTCAGGGCGTTTTTGGGGCAACCGTGGTTTGATTCTGCAGCTGGTTTCTTCACGTTCGCTCCAAACTGGGAGGCCACCCTTTTCCTTGACCATATTAATGAAATTGGGTAGGAAAGAAGGTAGTTGTTAAGCCCTAATGTATTTTTATTTTATTTTACAACAGTTGCACATAAATAACATAGATGTGGCAGGCAACAAACAAACTAAACTGGAACGTTTGCCAGTGAAAACAGGCAGAGGGGAAGGATTTTCCTGATCATGCGCAAAAAGTAAAAGGAACAAAGCGAAAAACTGCACGTGGCTGTGGGGCACCCCCCCCCCCGTTTTGAAAGCCCACCTTCACAACCCCCTTTTTCTATGAAATATCTCCTCGCCCTGTGCCATGTTGCGTGCATTGGCCTTTTTTCCCTTCAAGGCAGGCTTTTCAGACGTATCATTTAAAAAAGCACCATGTAAAGTAAAATCTGGGAAAGGGTGGGTGGGTGGAAAGCAGCCTAAAGGAAAACTTCTTCCCCCGACAGCCCTGCTAACCTAGTTACTATTGATGGATGATAATTGGCACAGAGTAGGGCTGGGCAGCACCCAACTGCAGTGTGTGGCACTGGGGGAAACCAGCATGAGAAATATAGCCAATCAACCCCCTTGGAAGGCAGATGCGTTCTGTTGCGCTTACTCTATTAAGCTTATTCTCAGCGCCAAGCATTTTTTTCTGTTCTCCTGCGCAGTCCAAACACCACAATGTGTGGATCTCCAGGTAACTTTCCCTTGGATGCTTTTTGTTGTTGTTGTTTAATGCAAAGAATCACAGAATCACAGAGCTGGAAGGGGGCCTTACAGGC